CGAAACCCGGATTCTAGCGTTGTAAGTCCGCAGACGTACCGCTGTGCCACTGGGGGCACTTTTCGTGTAGCTTAATACTGTTTATAGGTGTATGAATATCGCGAATAAGCGATACTCTAATCGAAAATAACATTGTATTTTCGTATGTTCACTGTTTAGCTCGAAGCTACACAATGGCCTATCTGTACTATGCCTATCACGGTTATCGAAACCCGGTTTTTAGCGTTATAATCCTTCAGACTTACCGTTGAGTCACTGGGGGGGGGTATCTCAAAGAAAAACAAAACACGTCATAGGAATGAGTCTAATGATAATTAAATACTTACATTGTCACCATCTAAAAATATATAGTAATTTCTTTTTTGCAGAGATACTTTTATTATCTGTTACATTAAATGAGCATGCTTTCACAATACCGTTGTTTTGTTTATTTGTATAATCGTTTCTTTTATCGCTTTGTTTTTAGTACCATTTTCTGTTAAATATATAATTGCATAAAACACGAGCACCTGAAATTATTTTAGGCAGGATTAGAGTAAATTAATCTATAAGACCTTTTTTTACTCCCTTTTTATTAGCTATATTTTTGTGCGCCAGCAATAACAAGCATGGGGCGCGTGTATACCCGATTCGATTTTATTACCAGTATACCCTAAAACTGAAATTATTTTATGCAGGATTAGAATAAAGTAATCTATGAGACCTTGGGCGTGGTTAAATACATCAATCTAAAGGGTTTGACCTACTGAGTCCAAAGCTGTAATTAGATCTCAAATCGGTCCACAGATGATGGAGCTATGAGCTAAAAGTTTGTACTTGAAAACAAACAAACAACAACAACAACAAAAAAACACAAAACAAAACTCAGAGCCGTTCTATGAACCACTCAGCCGCGGCTAAAAATTAAGTGCATGAGTTTCATAATTACACACTTGGTACAGTAATATATTACAAAACGCATCGTGAAATTTTAAAACATGATATCAAAATTACAAAGTTTTGCAATATCTAGAAAAACATCTCAACAGTACTATAGACTGGTATAGACCAGAGGTTCCCAAACTTTCTCAGCACAAGAACTCCCAGAACATTCAGCATCCTGAGTGAAACTTCCTTCCTCTCATGAATCTATAGATGCTGAGAACGTTAACAGTACTGTGTATTTTGTATATTTGCTACGCCTGTATCGTGACACTTTTCTACAGCCCACGGGGCGTTCGTGGCCTCCAGTTTGGGAACTCTTGCCATAGACAAAATAAAATACGTAATTTTGGCAATTATTACTGTTCTACTGTTCTCTGTTGGCAAACAGTAAATTAATAGTTTATCAGCCGTAAACAGATTCTGTAAGTTTGAAAGATAACATAATCTTAAGCGAAATGGAAATTTGAACAAAGACACAAAACTAACAGGATATTATGTTATGTTATAACAAGATTTTATGTTATAATGTATAAACCTGAAGAACGACTATTAATTCATGAAACCCGTTGATGGTTATACAATATTTCATTAAAACATTTCACAAAAAAAGCTGAGTTTATACGAGAACACTTTGTTTCCATCGTATTATAGATTGTTAGAATTAGATAAAGGCCAACAAGAGAAAGCTATTACAATATATATGTTTGTTAAACTGGACAGTTATGGTAGTGAAAGTTATTTGAATTCTGTGTTCGATATTAACTGCCAAATTACTTACCATTAGAAAGAGAAGAGTAAGTGAAATTTACTAAGTCTGGTGATGGTGAATTCAAAGTTGGATTCTGCACCAGTGCTTCTGAGTAATGGTCGTTAGCACTGACTTGTGTGCCGTGGAATCTTCCAGCCAAACTGGAGTTACATTGAGAGTAGTAATTCTGGTTGACAACAGATGGCAATGCAACAGTGGTACAAGAAGGTTGATCAGCGATATTCATAGGCAACAACGAAAATGTGCTAGTAAAATCTCGCTGACAGTCCTCAATGTTAGGATACATGCCTGTTTGCTATAAGTAACAAATAAATAAATACTGTAAACTTTACAAATAACTTATAAAATATACAAATATCTTTGTCCTCTATTGTTATCTATTGGCTGTTGTTAAGCGCAAAGCTACACAATGGGCTATCTGTACTCTGCCCACCACGGGTATCGAAACCCGTATATTAGTGTCGTAAGCCTACACATTCACCGCTGAGCCACTGGGGTTCTCTTATTTACCCCTTTTCAACAATGTCAACAAATAGCTTGGAGAAGAGAACGAGTGGACTGTCTTAAACTCGACCTTAGCGACATCGAACTTTACGAAAAATGTGTAATGAACAACCCGATGTAAGGATAGATGTGTAATGAACAACCCGATGTAAGGATACAATGAGTTATTTATATAAAGATGATCGATAATTTAGGTTTTTAAATAAATCTCAATTAAATACAATTTGAGTTCGATATTTTTGATTGCTCCTACAACTAAAAATGATGACATCAACACCCAACCATCACAAAATAAGAGTATAAGTGCAAAATATTAATGATTAATTAACGACACTTACTACTGATGCAATAATAGTAACAAAATGGACAAAAAAAAAGTGCAAGCAGCAAGACTTTGTCAATAAGAAGGAAAAAGAAAAACAAAAGACGAAATTACCTATCTAATAGCAAGGAAGTCTGAAAAATGGGTTAATATTCAAAAATTGTAAGTTTTAACCAAATTTACATTATTTCATCAAATAGTATTCATTATTAATAGTATGTTAACAAGGCTTCCATGACTAATCTACTGTCTAAAACATTGTTTCATCCAGGCTTAGTCTAAATCAGAATTGATTAAATTACACACAGACACTACGAATAATAATTTCATGCATTTTATTAACAAGTATTATTATTTTACTGAATTGCCCAATTTTAAATTCTGCTTTAAACAACTTTATACATATTAATACAAAATAGACATAATACTTATATATCTATGCTTTCCTTAAACATCAATATTTGCATATCATTCCCTTACACATTCTCCACGAGTTCCAACTCAGTAATAGAATAAGAACACCAATATAACGACATGTTTAACCCTTTACGACTAGTTTTATTAGCCTTTTAAAATGCTCTTCTAGGTTTAGAGAGTGTGAACATTAGAGGTTGTAAAGTCCAACCATACGTTCAACTCCAAGTCCTGTACCAAGTTAACCAGCTTTAAGACGCTGATGGCAAAATTAGATGGTTAGGTCTATAAAAAATGGTCTTAAAAGTTAAACCAAAGTGACAGACAGTTTAGCCAACAAAAAATAAACGGAATGGCTGTCAGCAACTATTTAGGGTCCCAATTCAGTGTTAGGGACCATGTTAATCCAGTGATGCTTCATAGCGTCACTAAGCAGGGCAATGCGGTGCTTGGTACATGTTAATTTAATGACTCTAGATGAGTGGTTGGAGCACTTTAATGATTGGGTGTCGCTCTTTGATTGTCAGGAGGAGGGATACGTTTCTATAAACATCGGACCTCACACAGACTTTACAGGAGACGCGAACTGTTTTCGACTTACGGTGTCTCTTCTTTATTTGAAAAATTCATATGCACTTGGTGCAATGTGTTTAATCTTATACAATACGGTTGACGACGATATTCGAAATAAATCAGTTCTCATGGTAATCTGTCCATAACCCACATATTCTTAGAGCTCTTATTTTAACGGAAGCTAACGTAATTACCATGACACTTAAGCTGTATTTCCATTAAATACATATAAACAATTTTAATTCGAGTAACTTTGAAATGAATATTTCTGCATAAAAGCGAAGATTCATACTTATTCAGTATTTTACTAGGCTAAAAGTACTTATTTTATATGCTTGTGCGATTCAGCCACGTTTATAACGTATTTGGTGTTTTTTGAATACAGGCACCCCATGCAACGGCCAGGTTAGAGAGCCAAAAGTTTTAGGCGTAGGCATCCCTAGTTTAGAATTGCTTATCTAGGAAGAGCAACCAGTCAACAGCACTCTCCGTCTATAGTGATACTTTTAAGTGAACAGAAGTATTGACTGTTAGGGCTATAACTCCATCATAACCGAAAACGCGGAGTGTGTTCAGCGGTGTATCGTGACTCAAATCTTGGACCTTCCGATATGCATCCTAGCCCATTTAAAGCTACAAAATATATTAGTAGGATCAAATACAGTGGAAAGCCCACTGTCTTAACCAAAACATTCCACTTCTACTTAAAAGAAGGCTACAAGGAATAAAGTAAGAAATGTTACACAAGGCAACACTATTCAAATGTATTAATTCTAAGCTACAATACAACGCGGTACGAAGTGCTTAGACGGTAATTGAAATAGCTATTGTGTATTAAAGGTAAGACACAAATCAAGAATGTGTAAAGCACTAGTTTGTTCAACTATACTGTATTAAAACGAAATTACAATACAATGAAATACGAAGCATTAGGCGGTAACAGTTCCCCATTGTGCATCAATATAAGTTTCCATACAACGAAACCGAAGCCTAAGATAAACAGACAACTTTCAGTTCTGAATTAAAACTAAGCCACAAAACAATGAATTTGGAAGTATTAGATATTATTGTAGCAATCCAACGTGCATTAAAGCTAAGCAACAATATACTTACAACGAAGTACGAAGGTCAGAGAGAGAGTAAGAGTATTATAATACTCTGTTGCTCCATGTTTAGCATCTACGTATGTGGCACACGGGAATACTTGATAACGTGACACACACAATGCCGTCACAGCAATTTTTGAGTGGAATGATATGTCATAATTTCCGAATAACGATATTCGTTTATTGAGAAGGCTAAATGATGTAGAGCCAAAAAGATGCAACGTTTCGAAGAATGTTCAACTTATTCCATGGGTTTTTAGAACCAGGTTCCAATCTAGTCCAGAAGAACATCCTCACCCGAAAATCAAACTGATGGCTATAGGTACCTACCAGATCCAAAAACCATTGCGATGAAGTTAGGCATACCGCTTGGGCATATCATTAACAAGATAAGAAGATAATAAACAAGGATTTGAAATTGATAAAGGCTTACAAGCCAAAAGTTCAAAAGGCCGTACCTCAAAATCAATGGAGGTTGTCGTAAGAAAGATGGCCGACGAAACCAGATTCAGCAATACCATTGGACCACATACTTTTTAAGTCCCCCGATGCAGCTCTAATTGTCTTGTGGTGCTTTGGTCTACTTAAACGTGTTATTAAGAGCCTTAGAGTAGAGGGTCTATGAAAAAACTCGTAAAGATCGTCCTCGCCATCCTTCACAGAAGTTTGTTTCAGTGAAAACTTCAGTGTCATATTAGCGAATAATCACGGGCATCAGAGTGAGCACAATTGACGACAGAGAAAGTAATTCCAAGGGGAGTATTAGTATTGTTCTTATAGAGAGTGATTAGCCTTCATTATAAAAACTAAGCTTCAATGCAACAAGATACAAACTGTTAAACATCGTCACATAGAGTAAGCCAATGTGCATCAAAGCTAAATTAAAGCATAAAGAAACGTGCGAAACATTTGAAAGTTAAGGTAATAGCAAGTCCAATGGGTATCAACAGTTGGACCCTAATGAGATAATATTTGATAGAAAAAAATTGTGATGTGTAATTATTTAAAGAAACTATTGAATAAAATATAACATTTTAAAAAGGAATAGCAAAAGTAATTAAAGAAAAAAATATTTCGCTTATTGTTGAGCACAAAGTTACACAATGGGCTATTTGTATACTCTCCAGCGCAGGTATCGAAACCCGATTTTTAGCGTTATAAGAAATCAGACTTATTGCTAAGACACTGGGAAAGAGGTAATCAAATAACCTCCAAGCATTTTAAAATTATTTTGTATAAAACATGTCTATTCCGATTTATTGATGTTCAGCTTAATCTCCGATAAAAGCAGATTACATGGTATTTTTCATCATACATACAATGGACGCTGCCTTAAAACAGAAGATTTATCTGTAATCATTTTTAGGCTAACGTATTCATCCCCAATGCCAAATTTTTGTTTGATTATTGTATTTTGAAAGAACGTCTTCAAGTTAAACAATAAAGCAGAATGATAAGGAATGTAGTTTTTATGGACTACTTCTACTCTTCTTTTTTTTGTTTCGGGTTGGGACACCGTTTCAGGCTCCATGTTGAATTTTTTTTAACAAAACAGGGAGCTCGAAACTCTTTCTCAAAACCAAATAAAAAAGGCAGAAGACCATAAAAGTTAAGATTCACACATCAACACCCATGTTGATTTTTTTTAACAAAACAGGGAGCTCGAAACTCTTTCTCAAAACCAAATAAAAAAGGCAGAAGACCATAAAAGTTAAGATTCACACATCAACACACACAGAGAGTCTAAATCTATTCTGAATTTAAAATTATGCTATAAGGAAACATTTTTTCAAATAATATGTTAAACCAAAACGTGCTTAATATGTTTCTAGGATGCTTATTTAGTATAATAATAATTGTTGACATGAAACCTCGTTATATAAAAGACATCGAAATGAAAATGTAGAATAACAACATCTTAGCCCTTATCTGTAACGGTCCTTCAATGGGTCATCGATAAGTTTACATACTTACAAGGCTAAAATCCGAAGATCGATTTCTCGCGGTGGACAGAGAACAAGTATCCCGTTGTGAGGCTTTGTGCTAAAACAAACAAGCAAAAACAAATAAACAAATAATATGTAACCAATAAAACAGGTTTAATTTTTGTTTAGCAAAAAGTTACATAATCGGCTCTCCGTGCTCTGTTTACAAGATATTGAGTTCCGGAGATATTGGTGGCTCAGCAGTAAACTCGAGGGCTATAACGATAAAATATGGGGTTCGATACCTGCTATGGGTGCAGCGTAAATAGTCCATTGGGAATATCTGCACTTAAAATAACAGCAACCAAAGGAGTCTCATAGAACCAGTAAGGTTCGTGTAATGCCTTGGAGTGTGGGTTCGAAATATATTTAAAAATCACGA